GGAAATTAGAGCAGGATTATAGGCAGATGCAAAATGACCTGCCTGATAGCTTTAGTATCCTTTCAAGTGTGAGTGAACAGAAGGTATCAGAAGAAATAAGTGATTGTCTGCTTAAACAAACACTGATACCAAATGTATCACCTACTAATAAACCTGAATCTGTTATAGCTCAAACCGAGCAGTATAATCCTAATGTAAAAGATATTTTCTTAGACGAGATATACAAGCAAAGCATTAGTGATAGGATAAGACAACGCAATAAAGAGAAGAAACAACTGTATGAACAGATAGATATGAAAGTAGAGGTTTTTCAGCAAAAAAGTGAGCAGGGGCTGATTTGAGAAATGACTTCATCTATAGAAAAGGATGAAAAACAGCTGAAAGGTGCTTCATATGTAATTAAAATTTCAGCAAGTATTGATCAACTAAAATAGGATATTATCAGTCTTTACTAATATGCATGTGAAGCTGAAAAGGACGCAATCAAAGCCAATAAAGCAAAAACATTACGTTGGTGTTTTTATGCAAGAGAATTCAAAAATATGTACAAGAAATATATGGTCAGCAATAAAGTTGGGAAGAAAAAGGCGAAGGAACAAGTATACAATTATATTGTCAAGCATCTTCAAAATACTAAGTGTAAAACCTTATGTAAGTAAATACAAAGAGCTTTAAGAATCGATAATTTATTTAATAAAATAAGTGAGAACAAGATTTATTGTATCAAAACGTATAGTGCCGATACTATATCAAAATTCACTAATTCTTAGATTTAAACAATTATAGATCACTTCACTGAAAAACCTAATATAGAATTTGCTGATGATCGAGTCAGCTCAGAATAAGATATTTCTATTATCAATTCTGAAGAGGCATTGGAGACGCAAATGAAACCCTTAATTTCAGTTGAGAATTATAGAGATGTATATTTTGATCATGGTCCTATACCTCAGTCAGTGAAAGAAACGAATGAAGGGTTATTTCACAATCAGTTAAGTTAGACGATAAAAATGATTCTAATGATTCTGAAGAAGAGATACTATATGAATCAGATAATGATGATGGGTGTGATAATGGATACAATAGATATGGTTGATATTATGGTAGTTATTATTATTGTGATAGAAAATATGAAAGAAAAACCTCACCAATGATGAATCCTATTATATCTCCAGTATCTGACTAGGAGAATTATTAAGTAGATTGTAGATTGAATTATACAAAGCTTCTTAAAGAACCCTTTAGCTGACTGGGGCTTATATATGTTTATTTTTTTTTCAGCTGAATCGAGATCAGCAAATTAATAGACATCAGAGTTACTATATTTTTCCATGTTTTACAATGATCATAGCCTTAATTGCAGAAAAAATTTTATTATATACATGCTTTTTTCTTACTATAGTTAAAAAAAGCAATTAAGATAGGCTATTTCCTAAATGTCTTTACCAAAGAAGTGTATATTTGTCTTAGCATTTCTAACGATATATATATTTATCTGAAAGTAATAGTTCTATAGTATTCGCATTATGCAAAATTGATCTACGATTTGTTAATTAACTTTTAACTCATCAAAAAACACTGAGAACTACTTTCTTAGATAAAATTGAAATATTGGTTAATAGAGAAGGGAGGGATTCTAGTAATAGTAGTAGCTAGTATTCCACAAAAAATCCAATTTAATCTGAATCTGATCTGGATCTGATGGATCGGATTGAATCGGATTTATCAGATTCGAATCAGATTCAGATCTGGATTTTGATTTGATTCAATCCGTCAGATTCGGATCGGATTTAGATTTGGATTCAAATTCAATCTGTCAGATTCAGATTTGGATTCAGATCTGATTTGTTAGATTTGAAATAAAAAATGCCGTCCTGAAGTCGAACGCGGCATTTATTATTAAAAAAATTTAATTTTTAATAATAAAATGCCGCCCGAAAGTCGGACGTGGTATTTATTATTAAAAAAATTTAATTTTTAATAATAAAATGCTGCCCAAAAGTCAGAAATAGCATTTATTATTAAAAAATTAATTTTTATTAATTGTTAATAACAAAATGCCATCCTGAAAGTCAGAGGCGACATTTATTAATAAAAAATTAATAAAATTAATTTTTAATAATAAAATGCCGCCCAAAAGTCAGACATGGCATTTATTATTAAAAAATTAATTTTTATTAATTGTTAATAACAAAATGCCATCCCGAAAGTCAGAGGCGACATTTATTAATAAAAAATTAATAAAATTAATTTTTAATAACAAAATGCCGTCTCGAAAGTCAGAGGCGGCATTTATTATTAAAAAAAATTAATGTTTAATAATAAAATGCCGCCCCCAAAAGTCAGATGTGACATTTATTAATAAAAAAATTGATTTTTATTAATTTTTTATATTAAAATGCCACCCCAAAAGTCAGGTGTGGCATTTATTAATAAAAAGATTGATTTTTATTAATTGTTTGAATAAAAATGCCATCCCGAAAGACGGAAGCGGTATTTATTAATAAAAAATATAATTTTTATTAATTTTTTATATTAAAATGCTGCCCCAAAAGTCAGATGAGACATTTATTAATAAAAATATAATTTTATTAATTTTTTATATTAAAATGCTGCCCCAAAAATCGGACGCGACATTTATTAATAAAAAATTTATTTTTTATTAATTTTTTATATAAAAATGCCACCCTGAAAGACGGAAGCGGCATTTATTAATAAAAAATTTAATTTTTATTATTTTTTTATATTAAAATGCCGCCCCGAAAGTCGGACGCGGCATTTATTAATAAAAAATTTAATTTTTATTAATTTTTATTAATTTTTTATATTAAAATGCCGCCCCGAAAGTCAGATGCAGCATTTATTAATAAAAATATAATTTTTATTAATTTTTTATATTAAAATGCCACCCTAAAAGTCGGACATGGCATTTATTAATAAAAAATTTAATTTTTATTAATTTTTTATATTAAAATGTCACCCCGAAAGTCGGATGCGGCATTTATTAATAAAAAATTTAATTTTATTAATTTTTTATATAAAAATGCCACGTCCGACTTTCGGAGCAGCATTTATTATTAAATATATTAATGTTTAATAAAAAAATTCCACCCTGAAAGTCAGATGCGGCATTTATTAATAAATCAATTAATTTTTATTAATTTTTTATATTAAAATGCCATCCCAGAAGTCAGACACAGCATTTATTTATTAATAAAAAAATTAATTTTTATTAATTTTTTATATAAAAATGCTGATCCGAATGTCAGAGGCGGATTTTTTGTTAAAAAAAAACAAAATTGTTGTTTTTTTTAACATTAAAACGTCGTTCTGAACGTCAGAGGCAGATTTTTGTTAAAAAAATAACAAAATTGTTGTTTTTAACATTAAAACACTGTTCTGAACGTCAGAGGCGGATTTTTGTTAAAAAAAATAACAAAACTATTGTTTTTTAACATTAAAACACCATTCCAAACGTTGGAGGCAGATTTTTGTTAAAAAACAACAAAATTGTTGTTTTTAATATTAAAATGCTATTCCGAACGTCAGAGGCGGATTTTTGTTAAAAAAATTTTTTGATCTATCGGATACGGATACGGATTCAGATTTATCGAATTCAGATTTATTGGATACAGATACGGATTCAGATTCAGATTTGTCAAATTCAGATGGAATCAGATTCGGATTTTTCAGATTCAGATCGAATCGGATTTTGCCCAAATCTGATCCAATCTAATCCGTGCAGAACACTAGTAGTAGCAGTAGCAATAGTGATAATAGTGATAGTTAAGGAGCTAAAGAATAAAAGCAGTCATTGTCTTTCGAGACAGGCTTTGGATCTGACTGTATTTTCTCATGCAACTCCACAAAAATTTATTATATTTTATATATCTAAAAATTCGAAAAAAATATCTTTATTGTATGAATTTTATATAATAAAAATAATCTGTCTAAAAAAATCTTGGCTATTATTTTGGTAGGATCTGGCTGAAATTCTAGTCATATGATTTTTTTATAATCAGAACTATAAAAAAATCTTGTTTTTTTTTGCTTATTTATATTTTATAAATTTTATGTCTTATTTTCCTTATCTACAGCAGATATCACAAGAATATAAATATGCTTATCAAACATAGAAGGATCTTTAATAAAATAATCGCTTATCTTATCCTCCGATTTCATATCCCTATATGTCTTTGCCTTATAATCGATTGCATATAGAGAAAAAGAAGTATTTCTAAATTTCTCATCCAAGTGATATTTTTGGATCTGAGATTCTAATGCGGTAACTGGTTTATCCTTTTCAATACTAATACCAATTATCTGATATCGATCATATCCAAAAAATGTGCTAGTATGGATAACAAGGAAAGCAATACGAATTAATTTGCTCATTTCCTTTTCTCTGATCCTTTGAAATATAAAGATAAAGAGATATTTTTTGGAAATCACTTAATATGTTTTATGGGAAAAAATATGTGATACTACTGAAAAAATATTATTTAGGCGATCGTTAATATTTATGTATCTCGCCTAGAAAAAAGAAATATACTTGATGGTTAACTAATATGATCACCGGAATCAGTAAACTAGCCATGTAATGTGTAACTGATCAATCAATTTGTGCGACAATTAATGTTAATAGTATAAACTAGGTAATGGGAATCGTTAGGAGCGTCTGAAGCATTAATCAACATAAAAATATCTTTAATACTGTTTATTTATAAAAAAATATCTGTATTACTAAATTAGAATAAATTAATTGTGTTCTATAATTGCGTCATGTTGATTTACCCTCCTTTAACTGATGTAAATGAATCTTCCTTTTTAAATAGTTAAAATTGTATTACACAAAATAATTGACAGAAATGTGATTGGAAGATAACGCATCATTACAGACACCACTTGCATAGTTTCAGCTCTAACCGGAAATGTTCTACGCTTACGCTTCAGACAGATTTCTCGCAAGAAAAAAATTTTCTCTACTACTGTAGTTAACTATGTTCTTTACCGTAAATTACCTTGATAAGGTGAGCTTCAATAAATAGTAATAAGTTTTAAATATTTGTTTGATCCTCCGGATTTCATCTGAAAATAATATATATATAGTTTGAAGGTTGGAAAAGTACTTTGGTTCCAAACTCACTCAGCCTTCTTGAAATACTAGAATTTTGTAGAACAAAAAAGGATTTCTCTTTTGATAAGTGGACCGAGTACTTCACGATTTCCAAGTTTGTGTCTTATGTTGCATAAAAAATGACAAACGAAAAATGGAAGATAGTTTTTTCCGTCCTTAATAATAAATGCTAAAGGCCAGTATCTGTTTATATTACGCTTAAGAGAAAAACGAAGTAGCGAGGGGATAGAGAAGGAGTTGGGCTATGTGCCAAAAACAACTATCTAAGCAACCCAGCTACGTGTCGGGCTTAGGAATGGAGTAATATCTCTTGATGGGTTTCATCTTAAATCTGCGTGAAGGCCAGAGGCTTATATGCTACAGTGCTAAGAACTAATACGTTCATTCAGAGTCCCTAGTGACTGATTTTACCACTTCAGACTTTTGAGATTATGTGAATTTAACCATTCTTTCTCACTTCCATAGACTCAATCACAGGGTGAAGATATGAAGTCATTTTGGAGGAATATTGAAACCGAAAAAATAGAGTCAGAAAATAATTTATTGGAGGCGAAGATAAAGCAAGCTGAAGTATGTGTCCAGCATTAATGTTGTGATCGATATACAAGTATATAATATCAACTTTTGTGTTTTTTATGATTTGCAGGTTCAATTTTCTGTTGATTGCACTTTGACGAAGAATGAGGCTCATAGAATCTTCGATCAGAAAAAAAATAGATTATGCCTTGAACTCAAATAAGAATAGTATTGGAAAGCATTCAGCAAATGATGAAGGTATGGGAGATGCACGTTCATACAAGCATTGACGTAGAAAAAATGATGAACCACTACGAACTTCAGAAGACAAGGTAGTTGTATTTTTCACAGCTTTAGTATATTAGTCTGCAATAAAAGTTCCCTCTCACCTCTCGCATGTACACAGATAAGAACCATTATATTCGAAGAAGAAGAGTCCTCCACCTCGGCCATGTCCTATATCCCAGCCATTCCAGTAGAGTCTTCTACTTCAAAAGATCCGGAAATCGATACAAAAGATGAAGACGTATTTAATATGATGTTACGTGAAACATATTTAAAGATATGACAGGATATCTGCAGTTGCCTTCACAGAGAGACGTAAGTTAATCGTTCTGATTCTGCATTTGTTTTGGAATAATACTGATTATTGTATCCATTTCACTGTTTTAGTAGAATATTGAAGATTACAACGTTTCAAGATCTTTTCGCGATTATCAGATCTCAAATATAGATAAATTGGAGGATGATGCGATTTTTTTCTTCTCATCAGATATTTAAGAAATCTTGTAAGTTAGCTCGATAATTAAATCTAATCCAGAAGTCACCCAAAGACGTGATTACCTAATGAAACCTTTGTATATTGCAGATCTCTTCACTATGTCATATTGATTGATTTAACTAGAATGAAAAGGCTGACATATATAACTGTTGATGAGCGGAGTTGGCATGCTTCAATCCGACAACCAGTCCAGCCTGATCTGGCGAGTTTTTTTGGAGATATAATGAACGAATATGAAAAGGTAAGAGTATATAGTGCGCACAAATTAATGATTATCTCATATAACAATCAAAAATAGGTTATAAATGACATTGATGAGCTTCATTTAAAATTTTATGAAATGTGAGGCAAATACTGTGATAAAGTGATTTATTCTGACGAGAAAAGACATATTTTTGAGATGACTCAAATTGTGACACACGTATTGTAATTATTTTATTTTTACTTTTCTGTTATTTCTTTATTAACTTTTTGTCTAACCTTTCTTTTCCTCCAAGTTATGAGAGGATGTATATGTACCCAGATTCAGGTAAAGATGAAAATAAAGATACTGTTATATACGAATACATACACGATACTTTCAAGGAAACTTTTCAGGATTCTAATTATGATACAGTTTGGTATGTTCTTTATAAATTTATGATCATTCATTGTTCCTACTCTTATTTTTTTTAATCTTACTTTTCTCTAATAAGGGCGAATTCCGAAAGTTTATCATTAAAGAATTACTGCTTTACCTATGGTCATTCACAAGGAAAAAAACCGATCTAACTATATATAGAATTATAGAAAAAGAATGGGAGGAATCGTGTTTCATTGAAGCAAAACCTTTTTCAGGAACCAGAACAAGTAAAGTTGGCAGATACAATCTTTATAAAATAGCAATCTTTTGCCAAGGTGGGATAAACAACATATTATTATGTAAAAATGAACCAGGAGTGTAGACTTTTGGAGAGCATATATGTGGTAAGTTTTCTTTTCACATTTTGGTGAATTCACGTTTTAATACACTTTCTTATAAATATTGTAGAAGAGTACATATATTTCTGTATGATGAACCTGGAATACAATGGTATCTATTGTTTCTTTCAATTATCCGAAATCAAGCTCACCCGAAAGCTTTCAGAATTTAATCTCGTGCGGAAATTAATATTGAAAACGTATTTTTTTAAGGTAAAATCCTTCTTGAAAAGTTATTGTATTTTCGACGATTTTCTTTTTACCTACTTTTTATTCCTATTCAGTGTCGTATCGATAGTTATTACTCAAATTGAAATAATTTCAGTAGCTCTCTTTGTTCGAGTAAATTTATCTGTAATCCAACTGTAACACCTAAGACACCTAGAAATGCAATCCTGGATATTAGTTTGAAGAAACAGAAATCAACAAGAAAAAGAAAAAGCATTTGATTTTTCTCGAATTTAAATTAATATTTATGTTTTTCTGCTAGTTAATTTTTCTCAAAGTAATTTCTATTGCTATAGTTAATAAATAAGCAAATCATTATCATTGCTAAAGATGGGAACTGTAATTAATATGTTGCAACTTTTAATGTTGCAATTAGTTTTAACCTATATATGTTGCAACTTATAATGTTGCAATATATGTTGCAACTAATTTTAGCTTATGTTGCAACATTTTATAAATTTGAAATCAATTGCTGTACCATCTTTAATCGTTGCTATATAAATTTGAATAAAGTTTATCAATATCAAGGTTATTGGCTACCTTATGATTATAAATTATTCTTTATGATCAGCGTTCTTTTTTCAGAACGCGCACGCATTTTTTTATGATATGATTTTTTACTTACTCAAATATAAAAGGCCTATTTATCCAATTTCAGGGGTGTGTCCCAACCTAATCTAATTGCGAGAGGATCATCAGTTGCCTTAGTAAAATCGAAGACCACAAAATCCTGATTTCTCCCTCGAAACATAATTAGATGGCTCAAATTTTCACGAATTATCTTTAGCACAGCTTGATATTTTTGGGTCACATATATTGGTGAGATATTTTGATGCCATTCACTAATAAAATAAGGGATGATGCGTTCCTGAATCTTCTTTGATTCAGCACAAAGATCTTCGAATACAATAACTGTACTTCGATCTGGGGAGAATTTAGTTATATCGGGAATCTTATCAGGTGTTATTCTTTTAAATGTGACATCCTTTCGATATGGTTTTAGGATATTCGCAAAAATCTGAAAGCTGGTTTGTACTAGTTGCCACTTTGGCTCAAAGTGCTTTCCTACCAATATAAGGTTATCATTCTTAATATACCGCTCTCCTTTTTTTTGTTAAACATGCCCTAAAGTTTATTACTGAGCATAAGATTTATAACTATATTCGTTTTTCCGCTATGAGGCCCTTCACAGACTAGAAGACGAAAAGGCCAATCTAGCGCAAATCCATTAGATTTCATATTCTTTGGGTATCTCATCAATGGCGTATACATATATAGGCATGCTCTTCTCTTTCATTCTAATTAAACTAAGTACCATTAAATTATTATATTGAAAAAATAAGAATTTTAGTAAGACACAAACATTTAAAGTTTTATCTTATTCTATAAGACCCAATTCTCGAAGATGCTTTGGAATAACTATGTATAGGCAGGGTTGAGAATTTTGTATGTACTAGATAAAATTAACACTGTACTTGTACTGTACTTGTACTAATTTTTATATTAATTATTATAATGTACTAACTGTACTAATTGTACATATCATTGTACTAACACTGTACTTCCCAACCCTGTGTATGGGTCTTCGTAATACCAGACATACCTTAGGACAATCTGATTTTCTTCATATAATTCTTTCTTGAGTTGATCTCGTTCTTGCTGTCTCAAAAAACTCAAAATAGTTTGCAATTGAGATAAGGTAATTCAAGCAACCGAGCCTTATGCCTTGGCAAAAGCAACAGATGAACTACTTCCTAACCTTTCGATAATGAAAGACAATAATTTTTTTCTACTTTTTTTAAAAGTTTTGATAAAATTATTAGGATCATCTCTATGAAAGAATTTTATATATTTTTCATGTTGTTCTTCCTGCACTTTGATTGCAAAACCATAGTGGTAATAAGGAATATCAAGTTCCAATCCTCTCAGATGTTCTAATATTTTTAGAAAATCAGGTTTACGATTTTTTGAGGGTAGTCCTAAATATTTTGATATGATTTCACAGCATAAATTCTCACGCTTAAAATATGAACACAGTGAGCACCAACCTCCTTAAAATAGTCTTTGGAGGGCTTCCCATATGTGAGATTTTTCGCAACGCCAAAGAAGCTTTGTATATGCATCGTAATATCATTCTGAAAGACAGTCTCCATCATTTTTTTGTGCTAAAATTTTCATATCAGAAATAGTTCGATTTCATTCACCACAGGTAGGACACCATTGGTGATAGTCTTTATTTTATTTAAATTCGTAGTACATATATGACCCTTGTCACATTTTCACTATAAAGGTGTTTTATTATTTATATAATCTGAAGATAGGCAATCCCCATTTTTGGTATGTACCAGAGACTTTGCTGTCTCAATACTATGATGATTGCATTCAGAACACCTGCATTTTTATTTTTTACACAATCAAGACTTGCGAGCCATTTATGATCTATAGAACATTGCCATAATAAAGTCTAATAACTATTGAGATATTTTTCAGATAAACATCTACCATTTTTTATAGACGCAATTTGGTTAGCTTCTTCAAGGTTAAGTTATTTATTGCCTGCGCACTCTGGACACCATGTATTAAGATTTTTAATTCTGTGAAGTTTTGCAGACCATTTATGACTTTTATTACATTTTCAGATTAAAGGGATATAACTATTAATATATTCTTGGGAAAGACACTTTCTGCCTTTATTGATAGCAATTTGCTTAACGTCTTTAAGAGTAATCCTGTGTCTTGCACAATAAGGATACCATGAATTAAGATTTACAGTATAATACTATAAAATCTGACATGCCATTCATGACCTTTTGCATAACGCCATAATAAAACTGATTTACTATTATCAAATTTTTCAGAAAGACATTCACCACCCCTATTAATAGCAATTTGTTTAGCATCCTCAAGTGTAAGCCTTCGATTGAATTGATATTGTGGATACCAAGTGCCACTATTTTTTATACTAGAAAAAGAAGAATACCATTCATGGCCTATAGCACAGCACCATAATAATAGTGAATTGCTATTTATATACTTTTCAGAAAGGCAATCACCATTTCTATAATATGCAATTCGTTTGGTCTCTTCAATTGAATGATGACAATTAGGAGCATACTGTGAACACCATGAGTTTTTTCATTTTATATTAGCAAGATAGGTAAACCATTTATGACCCATAGCACAACACCATAATAAAGATGAATGATCATTAATATACTTATCTGAAAGACACAGACCTTCTCATTCTATAGCAATATAAAAAGCAATTTCTAAAGATAATTTAGGTGACATTGTTTTCTTAAGTATATTTTTCCTTTAATTAAGTTGATGGCCAATAAATAGCAAATTATTTTTCTTGATATAGCATGTTTCTCCTTTTTTACCTTTAAACATTCGATAAAGCTTATTCCTAATAATAAGTTCACAACTTCATTAGTTTTTCCTGAATTGGTACAGCCAGAAATTAATACTGTAAAGGGTCACTAGGGAGTTGAATTTAATTCGTTGAATCTTTTTGCATCTTTTATCTCATTAATATGAAGAACGATTCTATCTACTGGATCAAGCTTTCTGACTTGATGTTTCTTATGATTTTTCAT